GGGTTCTCGAGATATTGAAGATCAAAGATGCATTTTTAATTTTTCTTTTTTTGCGCATTCGAATTCTAAGTATTATTACAAAACTTTTTTTCCAAACAAACATTACCTGAATTTTCGATTTTTCTAAATAAATTACGCATTTGAAGTTACGAACAGTAATGTACGTAATAAATAAATGCAGACCCGCACAAAAAACATCGTGCGTCTCAGTAGGATTTTATTTTATAGAATTGTTTTGTTGTTGCGAAGTAAAACGTCGACCTACGTACTTATCACACCGTTTTAATGCCAAGCTGTGAACCTACGCACACAATGACACGAAGCCCGTTTGCTTTACATTGCGCGCAATATATATTTTTTTATACCTAAAAATAAAAGTCGTTTCCCAGTGATAATTTTAGCGTAAAGCTGCTTAGTTAGAACTGCAGTATGCGTAGTTAACGGCTTCGTTATGTGTCTTTTTACACCCTGTATGTATAAAAATCGGTCAAGCCGTTTAGGAGTTCTTGCAAAAGTACAGGAAAATCAGGGCATCTTTAACCTTCTATTTATTACTTGTATAGTGGAAACGAAACGGTGCTTATTGCACTTGCCTCTCACAAGACACTGAGTTAGTAAGTTTTAACCAAAAATGTGTCATAAGTAAATATAAGTAGGTTTTTAATTTAATTAACTCCAATAATCTTAGTGTGGGAGAGCCATGCTTCGAATGGGCCGGCTCGACCGGAGCGATACCACGGCCTCACAGAAAACCGGCGTGAAACAACCACAGCGTTGTTTATTTCTTTATTTATTTATGTTAACACGGATTTGATCCAGTAACATTAACACAAATATAATAAAGGAAAAGAAAAAACGAAATATAAACAGATGAACTTAAAACAAACAAGTGTGTTTTGCCGTGTGAGTGAGGTTACCGGGGGCCCTACCATTCCACAATCTCTAACCAAATATGTATCTGAAATCCTAATCCCCAAAAGGCCGCAATGCACTCGTAACTTCTCTGGTGTTGTGGGTGTCCATGGGCGGCGCCGATTACTTACCATCAGGTAATCCACCCGGTCCTTAAATAATGGAGCTGTGGTATCATTCCCAAACGGCGACGCACTTATTACTCTGCTTATTTGCGGCCAGTCACATAAAACAGAAAGCAATCCTTCAATCTCCGGACGAGAGTCCAAAATTGATTAATGGCGAGGTATGATAATACATTGATATTGGTTTACCAATAAACAGACACAATATATTTGTATGTATATATAGATAAATGTTGTTTTGTAACTTTTAGTTGACCTTGCTAGCAGTGAGAGACACACAGAGACTCGCCAGAAGTCACAATCGTCAGCATAATTGTTTTATCACCGCCCGCAGTTTTCCCGCGAATAACAAACCATTACTTACCATCAGGTAATCCGCCCGGTCCTTAAATAATGGAGCTGTGGTATCATTACGACAGAAGGAATCCGTGTAGAAGCATGGCTTAACCACACTTTTTGTAGGTACATCCAAATCCAAACTAATATTGTAAATGCGAAAGTAACTCTGTCTCTCTGTCTGTCTGTCTTTTCTTCAGGCCTAAACTACTGAACCGATTTCTGTGAAATTCAGTACAAACATAGTTTGGAACTCGAGAAAGGACATAGGATAGTTTTTATACCAAAAATATGCAAGAAGTCGCTATTCGCGGCCAAAAGCTAATAGTATTATAATCCTTTTTTTGTGAGGGGAAAATCATCAAATGACTTCTCTCGCCCAGGGCCGGGCGGGAGGGAGTGTCTGACTCTTACTGACTAAAAACCCCCCTGTTCCTTCTCCTGCTCTGGGCCAAGGTCGCGGTGCCTCATTGCGCTTACCCCGCAACCCCGGCTGTAGTATTATAATCCTTAAGAATATAATTATAAATAATGATTCTAAGTATAGAATAATGCATTTCCTGATCATATGTTTTTGTTACATACACATAATGTTAACCGCAATACGTAATTTAAATTTGATTGTGTAATATAAATGATTTATCATCCGGATCTTTAATTAATGGATATTATAAAATATATCTCTTTATTTTTCATAGTTTCCTTGTACCTCTCGATTTGTTTCGAAGTTGAATTCCCCAGAGATAATTATGTAGTTCAAAACCGTGTTACATAAGGAGTAATTAAGATATTTCTTATTTCAAAAGTGCCTATTTATGGTTTATTTAAAATAAATGATTTTGATTCAATTTAATTTGATTTTGAGTTCCTAAAATAGAAGAAGATTACGAACTCTTTGTGTGATCGACAAATTGTTGTTCCGGGTCTGGGTGTCATGTGTATGTGGAATTGCATGTTTGTAACCGCACCCACGACACTGAAGAAAATCCTAATGTGGGGCAACGTTTTTTTTTTTTAAAGAAAAATCGTATTATTTCTGTATCTTGAGTTCCATTGCCGGGTTCAGTGTAATAAGTATAAATATAATTTCTTGAATTTCTTACGTTATATCCATAACCCTGATTATGAAAGAAGAGATTTTATAATATGATAGTCCACTTTGAAACCATTATTTTATAAGCTAGCGATAGCCCTTAAACAAACTTTCAACGCCTGACAATTGCCCTTAAGCTGTGCCTATTATTTCCATTTAAGATCCTTGTACCCATACTAGCTTCCGCCCACAGCTTCGCACGCGTTAAAAGTAATGCACCCGAGCATTTTTGGATACTGTTTAGATTTTTCATACAAAATGATTTTCCCGCTAATTCCCGTTCACGTGGAAATATCAGGAATTCCTTTCTTAGTGCACCTCTACGGTACCTAAGCTAGGTCTCTTCCAAATTTCAAGTGCCTACGTTTATTTTTTTTTATTTATTAATCCATTTATTTCAGGCATCGAAGGCCCATATAAACATATAGGTACAATACTATACAAAACAATATTAATTAGCCGTTTATATGTCAGTCAGTCAGTCAGTTTCTCCTTTTATATATACTTATGTACATATATTTCGAATGATTATCTTAACATGCAAATAAAGAATTTGGATTTAAATTAGGTACTTCATCGTTTAATTGATGACTAAGTTGACAAAAAAAAAAAACGGAAAATCCACATCACTTAAATAAATTGTTAAAACTACGCAGTGGATTTTCATGTGGTGTTTTTTATTCGATAAAGTGATTGAAGAGGAAGGTTTATATGTATAACTAGGTTGTGCCCGCGGCTTCGCCCTGTGGTATGTTTATAAAAAGTAGCCTATGTCCAGAACCGTCCAGCCGTTTTGGTGTTATTGAGTAACAAACAACCAAACATCGTAAATTTCGCATTTATAATAGATAAGTAAGCTAATATCAATTACATAGTTCAATTTAGTATCAGAATTGCCCCCGATGAGTACGGGGCGTTGACATTTTTTTATATTACGATTACCTGATGGTAAGCAATCGGCCCCGCCCGTGAACACCCGAAACACCTGAGGAGTAACAAGTGCGTTGCTGGTATTTTCTGGAGATTTAAGTTCAAAGCGCCCTCCAGCCAGATGGACTGACGATATCCGCAGGCTGGCTGGAATATGAAGAGCTGAACATCGAGCTTAGTGGCGTGCAATTGGGGAGGCCTATGTCCAGCAGTGTGATTCTTTAAGACTTCATTCTAAATATCGAATCTGAATCCGCTGTGAGTAGTAGTACACTAGCGCTACACTTGCGAGTTGAACTAAATTGACAGCAACATTTTGATAGATAAAGTATGAGATGACGTTAAAAGTGGCATTCTATAATGTAATTTCCCCGTCACTTCGACGCTCACTTCCCACTTGATCAAGATTCAAAATCAAACAAATTTTATAGAATCGACGTGCAGCAGTGGATGAAATCAGGCTTATGATGATGACGATGATGATGATGAAGGATAGGGAAGGGATGGAAGAATATATTGGGCTAATATTGTCTTATCTGACCAGAGAAGTTAAGACCAGAGACTTTTGCTCGGCTATGATACTTACCCCCGGTTTCCGAAAGGCCGATCAATGTTAAAATCAATTGAATCTCTTGTCAAGTCATCTGATTGGTTGACTGAATTATCAACAACCAATCAGATGACTTAACAAGAGATTAGTTAATTTTAGCGTTGACAAGCCTTTGAGAAACCGGGTGTTGCGGTTACGGATAGTAGGCCAAAAAGGCTATATTACACCATGCACTTTAAAACATTGGAATGGCGCCAGTAAACCCCACAGAAACGGAATGAGGTGAATCGATAAAACAGTTAAGCTGTAGTGTGTTTTCGCAACCCTTTCAGGATAGACTTGTTATAATTCTTTACTCGAAATTTCGATAGATATTTTGATCTACCATTAGGTAATCTTTATCCTTCTTTTCCAGTAGGTCTATTAGACTTCTTTCTTCTAAATAAATGTTCATTTTACTTCACTTCATAACCGTTTCGATTTTGTTTTTTTGATGGATAATATTATCCTTTGACTTCTCTTGTTCATGTAAGAGAGTTTCAGACTCTTACTGACTAAAACCCACCCCGTTCCTTCTCCTGCTTTAGACCGAGGCCGCGCGCTCTCAGCTCAAACTCGGCGTGATTTTAGTTCAAAAATTTCAATTCTAACATAGCAAATTGGAGATTAAATTAACAGTAGATACGTATACTTATATACTAACTAGCGTGTCATTCTAGATCCAAACCAAACTTAACAATACTTAAAAGAAAATTCGTCTAAATTGGTTTAGCAGTTTAGGTGAACAAATAAAAAGCCTTCTATCTATACTTATTTGTAACTTCAAAAACCATTTAACGATTTGTTCAATTATGTTTTTTTTCTTATGGAATACGTTTCCACACAATTCAAATAATTTTATTTCATCCTTTTCACATACAACTTCTATTAATATAGACCAAATGAAAGTACGTATCTTCTCCTATCGACCCAAAAAAAAAACATTCAAATGGTCTACCTTTAAAGATTTATATTATTTATAAATTTTCTAAATCGAATTAATCCATCTTTCCAGGAACCGCATCCAAAATGTCTTCAGAAAAGATCCTCCATGAGGACAATGGGTCTTCATCAGGATCCCTAAGGTCGAGGTCCGAAGACAGTGATAGCAATCCGGACAGTGCCACAGATTCCTCAAATAGTCTCTTCAAAAATAATGACAATACTTGTGCCGAAACTTGCATCGAGGAAACCAAATGCGAAGTCAACAAGAAAAGGGGAACGTATTGCAGTAAGTTGTTTATTTAATTTTCGACTTTATTTTTAGTAGTATTTAAGTTCAAGGGCGATAAACGAGTAATAAGGCGCATCACCTGATGGTAAGCAATATCAAAGAAACAACAACCAGTGCGTATCTAGCAGTTTGTTTTTTTTTTGTGAAGTAAGTCGGCCAACGAGCAAATGGATTACCTGATGGTAAGCTAACGGCGCCGCTCATGGACATCCGCAACACCAAAGGAGTTACGAGTCGATTTAAGAATTGGGGAGGGATGGAAGTAGGGGAAGGGTTTCGCCAGTTTTCTGTGAGGCCATGGTCTCCATACGGTCAAAACTACCCATTCGTGCCAAAGTTGGCTCTACCCCACTGTTTCTGTTTGTAGTTTCGAGGTTAAATTTGAGGATTTGATAAGTACCAACAGACCACCACAGACAGGGATCATCAAGGCCACTCAATCTTGCCCCACAACTTGCCACAGGATGGAGAAGTCATTTGACAATTTTCTAACCTCAAAAATCAAAGTTTAGTTATATATTTTAAAGACTGTTAACTAATTAATAATTAAATACTACTAAGGGAACAAAGAGTCCCCTAAGATAGGAATAGGAGAATCCTCCGAGCAGGCGAGGTGATCAACCTGGTGGGGTACTGCCAAACAGTTGTACGTTAGTATTTTCTACCCGTGTTTATTCGCGCGCAAACTTCACTTGCGCGATGCAGGACTCGTAGCGCCATCTGTTGAACATTGTCGTTACTATGTGCGTCGCCACAATTTTACTAGAATATATAAAGTATGAAATAAATCACATACGAAAGGTCATCCATTAAGCGGATAAACAAGATGCAGATTTGCAGAAATTGATGAGGTTTTTTTTCTTGTGGCTCTGCTAGAATGCATCAGGATATATTTTAATGGTATAGGATCCAAACGAGCAGACGGATTACCTGGTGGTAAGCAATTGGTAGCATCTTTTGACATCCGCAAAATCAGCAAAGTCACAATTTATTGACGGTGCGTTGCCTGTCTTTTGGCGTCACGGGATTTCGTGGATTTAGGGATTGGGAAGGGATGGGAAGAGGGAAAGGATTGGGTCTTCGATAACCTCATCTACACTTTAATACACTACGCTGTGGACGCTGTGGTTGTTTCGCGAAGGTTGCTTGTGAAACCGTCGTATCGTTCCTCATTTTTTTCATGTGTCGCATTTTTGTTTACAAATTCACACCATCCAGACCCGAAATAACAATTTGTGGATCACACAAAGTGATGTTCTGAGATCGTGGTGGCCCGGAGAGGTCTTGGTGGCCCGGAGGTTAAGTAGCCCGCTTCTCATGCATGAGAGTGTGGGCTCGATACCTGGCAAGTACCAATGTGACTTTTTCCGAGTTATATGTATTTATTTAGACATCACTGACATACAGTGAAGGTAAACATCGTGAGGAAACCTGGAATTATAATTTCTAATTATAAGTTTGAAATCTCCAACCCGCATTGAGCAAGCGTGGTGATTAATGCTCAAGCCTTTTCCGTTTGAGAAGAGGCCTTTGCTCAGCAGTGCACTTATAGGCTGATGATGATGTTCCATGTTAGAAACGAACCCGCCGACATTTTGCACAGCAGCTAGTTGTCCTAAGTGTTTCAATCCCATCTCATAACTTGATAATGACGTCAGATGACACAGTAGGTACCAAACGTCATCACTGACGTCAAAGAAGTTCTTATAAGTATATTGAGGTCAGGATGTCATTAATCTTTAATTGATTAACTGTTAAGGAAAACCTCCATCGACTAAGTTTGTAATTGGATGGGTTTATTAACATATAATAGAGGATGAGATCGTCAGCTGTTTTGAAATAGATGACCTGGTTTATTTTTTTGAACTGACCTTGAACTTTAAAAGATATATTTATGATCTAGATAATTGGTTGCCTAAGTCTAAGGCGCCAGCTTCTCATGGATAAGGGTTCGTGGCAAGTACCAATGCGACTGTTTCCGAGTTATATGTACTTTCTATGATTATTTAGACACCACTGACATATGAAGAAAAACATCGTGAGGAAACCTGAGGTGTGATTCTGTAAGACATAATTCTAAACTTCGAATCTGAATCCGCTGTGAGTAGTAGTACACTAGCGCTACACTTGCGAGTTGAACTAAATTGACAGCAACATATTGATAGATAAAGTATGAGATGACGTTACGCATTCTAAAATTTAATTACCTCGTTACTTCGACGATCACTTCGCACTCGAACAAGATTCAATATCAAACAAATTTTATAGAATCGACGTGCTGGACTTATAATTTCTAATTGTAAGTTTGAAATCACCAATCCGCTTCAGCTCAAGCCTTTTCTGTGTGAGAAGAGACATTTGCTCAGCAGTGGGCTCTTATAGGCTGATGAAAGAACAAAAAAAAAAGATAGAAATGGTGGAGGTAATATTTGCACTATGACTCCTTTGCCAGTCATTCTACTAGTCTTCCCGACACCATCGGTCAAAGGTAAAAATAATACTAACTCTCACATTATGTTATTTTTACATTGTCTGGACTTGAAAAGAGACTGATCTCTGAGTTTGTTTCGGCATTTCTTCTCAGAGTAGTCAGATAGGAAATGCCGGCTTCATCTAGTTTTTCACATATAAATTGACGTGTAAAAGTGCCGTTTTATGGCCTATTTGTAAAAATAAATTCGTTGTTTCATTGTTTCAATAAGCAAAAGGCTTTTTTGTGGTGTTCATCAAATGAAATGACTTCTCTGGCCTTGGGTTAGCGAGACGGAGTGTCAATCTGGTGCTGACTAAAAACCACCCAGTTCTGTGTGATGGCGAGTTGGCTTACATGCAGTTCGTTCGAGTGTCTGCTGCACGTCGATTCTATAAAATTTGTTTGATTTTGAATCGTGTTCGAGTGCGAAGTGAGCGTCGAAGTGACAGGGAAAATAAATTTTAGAATGTCACTTTTAACGTCATTTCATACTTTATCTTTCAAAATGTTGCTGTCAATTTAGTTCAACTCGCAAGTGTACTACTACTCACAGCGGATTCAGATTCGAAATTTAGAATGAAGTCTTACACTGCTGGTTTTGCTCCCCGTCCGCAGAGCCACATTTAACTTGTTTTACGGTCTTATCAGGTGTGACTATTGAACCTGTCAACCTGTGTGACCTTCTGGAATTTGGAACAAATTTCCGCGCATTTAGGCATTTTTGCCATTGTCTATGACTCATACTGGAAACAAGTACAGCAGCGGACACATTATTGGTCCCATTACAATAGTAAATTCTGTGCCTTTAAGCTTTAGTAATTCTGTCTCCTGAATTAAATTAACTAAACGAATTAAAAACTCTTTCGTTTGTTCTTCTCCTTAAATAATATCTCCTGATTTATTTCGTTGCGGGATCCAAGACAGTCATTCATGTCCCTTTGAAGCGCGGGACTTTAGTGTTTCGGTGTTTCCATGGTTGTATCTACTGTAGATCCTGGCCACAGGAATTACAGCAATTTTGAGGAAATGGGGCATGTCCCAAAAAAATAAGACACGATTTTACAGTGGCCAGATCGTCTCTTTGCCGCAAAGAACGTGCGGAAGATTATTAAAGTTTTTAGGCGGCCCCAATTGCTTACTATTACATAAAAAAAATATAACCTTTCATAAAAATAAGAAAACCTCATTTCTGCCTCCACCTTTTTAGGCTGCCAGACATAATAATGATACCTTGTCTATTCGATCTATGAACATACAACACACTGAACTAATTTTCCGCTTACCATAAAAATTATAGTCGACAGTTAATTAAGTATTCATATAGAGATGTCTTACAATTGTGATGAGGTTTCTGACCTCGCTACAGCACATTATGTAAATAATAATTATATACAATGTAAACATAGCTCTTATATACTTTGCTTAGATTTGTATTAAACCATTGTTCTTTTAACCGGGGTTGTGGGCGCAAGAGCAGTGATCTTTCACGACCCTGGCCTGAAATATGAGAAAGAAATCAGGTGGTTTTTAGTCAGAAACAGTCTGACACTCTCTCTCGCCTTATCCTGGGCCAGAGAAGCCATTTGATGATTTTCCCTATCAAAGAAACGTTGTTTTTTAAACAAGAAATAAAATTAATGAAATAATAACCATAGAAAGTACTTACATAACTCGGTAAAAGTCACATTCGTACTTGCCAGGGGCCCAAGTCTACTATTTTCAAAGTGTTTTCATTCCTACACGATTCCATTGTCATTTTGCTAAAAGTTCATAATCTGTTAATTCAAAATGGCCGATCATTGGCGTTTGGCGGTGGCGCTGTCGTAATAGAATTATAGTACGAGATGTCTTGTAACGAATTATAAACAATAACTGCACATTAATATTCTAAACGTAAGTCATTGAATAAAGGAACTGTCATTTTTTTATTAATTTACCGCTTTATGTCAAATATTCGTTTGTCATTATGTACGAGGTTACCGTTCTAAAGAATTATTTTTATATTACCGGAGGCCCAATCCTTCCCCTCCCCCAATCCCTCCTCAATCCCTAAATCTCCAAATCCCTAATTCCTAAAAGGTCGGCAACGCACTCGAAACTCCTCCGTTGCGAGTGTCTATGGGCGGCGCTGATTGCTTACCATCATAATCCCTCTGCTCGTTTGCCGACCAATTACATAAAAAAAACAAGGATGTGGCATTGGAAAGTCATAATGACGCTATCGTGTTAGTAGATTACCAAACTTGTCAAAATCAACAATATTGAAAACAATGATCTACTATTCTGACACTATTGTAATAGCAGACTCGAGGCCCGTTTCGAACCCGCACTCTTATACATAAGAAGCGGGCGCCTTAACCTCCGGGCCACCACCATTTCTCTAGAGTATCTAATAAAAACCTAATAATAATTGTTGCTTGCTGAGAAAGATAAACAATTGATATATCTTGACTTAGCTCACGAGGTTGTTGACATGTGGAGTGTGGACTCGGCTATCGTTGTGGCGATAGTTGTGTCGGCAAATGGGTTAGTCCCCAAAAGCCTCGACAACCTCCTTAAGAGGCTGACGTTAGGCGGATGGATCAAGGGCCTCATACAGAAGGCAGTCCTCCTTGAAACGGCACGTATTGTGAGGAGATTTGTCTCTGGAGCCCTAACCGCCGGTGGCTTGGACCTTGCTCCCGCTACCGGCTGGCTCCTATTTTTATATTTTTAAATATTATTTTATTGTTTTTTTTTAATAATATTTAAAAATGTAACTGTAGAGTTATTAAAATAATAATATTGTTCATAATTATTGCTTGAAAACCTTAACGCTAATAAAAACTCACACAATTTCAACTATTCAAACAGATTGCATAAATAGAACCACGAAAAGAATAGGGTTTTATATTAAAAAAAATCTATAAAAAAGCCGATAGCGATCAAATTTGTAATCTAAAAATAATAATGAATAAATTAAATTCAAACTAATATTATAAATGCGAAAGTAACTCTGTCTGTCTGTCTGTCTTTTCTACACGCCTAAACTACTGAACCCATTTCTGTGAAATTTGGTACAGACGTATTTTAGAACTCTAGAAAGGACATAGGATAGTTTTTATACCAAAAAAATCTGCTGAAAAGTCACTATTCCACGCGAACGGAGTCGTGGCCAAAAGGTAGTCTCTACTAATAGTATAAAGAGGTAAAATTTGTAAGTTTGTATGTAGTAGGTAATCTTTGGAACCGCTGGTCGGATTGCCAAAATTCTTTTATTGATAGATAGCTACAATGTTCCTGAGTGCTATAGGCTATAAAACATCGCGCTACGATCAAAGGGAGCCGAGCAGCGGGTGAAACCGCGCGAGAGTAGCTAATAAGTTATAAATATAATGTGTACGCATATTTAGATAAAGGTTTCCCCTTGAGATTAGCATTATTCAGAATGTATTTCTTCACTTATTATACTTAAAATGTACTCTGTAAGGTCGAATTTAAACTGTGCAAGACATCTACACTAATATTATAGTAAAGCTGTACAATATGTTTATTTGTTTGAACGCCCTTATCCCCGGAACTGCTGGCTTAAATTGAACATTTTTTTTTTATTGATTATATGTTCGCGTTTGACCGCTATCTCACCTGATGGAAAGTGACTATGCGGTCGACGATGGAGCGCGGTTACCTAGAAGTAACCTATTCACTCTTGACTTACCTAAAGATACCCGGATTGTAGCTATCAGGAAACACCGACTCCGGCAAGGAATTCCACTCCTTGGCTGTACGCATGATGAATGTGCTCCCAAAACGTTTTGTACGTATATGTGGGACATCCACCATGTACCGGTGGCGCAATGCCGTACGTCTGGTGGTCCGATGATGGAACGGGCTAGGCGGAATTAAATTATGTAATTCCAACGCACATTCCCCGAAATGCAACCGGTAATTCTAATTGTGCTATTTAGTCTATTTATCGAGAAAGGCTACAAAACTAGCGCAGGAGAAGGAACGGAGAGGTTTTTAGTCAGTAAACCCCTTATTACAAAACAAGGTTTATCCTTAGTCCAGGTTTAAACCATTGAGTCGGGTTTTGAATTTTCAATCTTATTGTCATCTACCTTCAATTCGAAATACAAAAACTGGCTCAATGGTTTAGTCCTAGACTAAAGTAAAACCTTGTTTTGTAATGAGGCCTAGGTTTAGTCACTAAATATGTATTTATAACTAGCTTTTGCCCGCGACTCCGTTCGCGTGGTATAGTGACTTCCTGCAGATTTTTGGTATAAAAACTATCCTATGTCCTTTCTCAAGTTCGTTTGGTTCAGTAGTTTAGGCGCGAAGAAAAGACAGACAGACAGAGTTACTTTCGCATTTATAATATTACTTTGGATGTAGATAAGTATAATTCATTATGACAGTTGGTACGTTCGGTTGACGGAAGAAAACTGTATCGGTTGCTCACGCTCGTCTGACACTCTTTCGCCTCACCCTGGGCGCGAGAAGTCATTTGATGATTTTCCACTAACAAAAAAAAGCGGGTGAATGAAACCGAGCGAGATCGGCCTAGTTTAGAAAAGTAACTTCGGCATATTTTTTATTAAATAGTGAATCACACATTCTGGTAACTGAATGAAATTTGGCACAGATATAGATTACTAGCTACTCTCGCGCGGTTCACCCGCTGCTCGGCTCCATTTGATTTGATGTTTTATAGCCTATAGCACTCAGGAACATTGTAGCTATCTATCAGTGAAAGAATTTTGGCAATCCGACCAGAGGTTCCAAAGATTACCCCCTACATACAAACTTAAAAATTTTACCTCTTTATTCAATTGGACTTGGATTAAAGCTACCTTTGTTAGTACGCCGTGACCTTCAATCGTGATCAGGCTAAGGAATTTAAACCTGTTACACAGTATTCTTGCCAATTTATCCATCACTTGGACAGACCCGTTACAATAGTTATGGATTTTGTGATGTCCAGAAATGTATTTATTTATTCTTAAAGACCGTTGCCTCACACTTGGATTTTCTCCTGTGCAGTGGATGCGTTTACAAACATTCAGAACATACTTAATACAGCATTTTCCAACTAGTCAAATTAATACAACACTATTATCGAAATGTCAAAAAGTCAAAAACGATACTGTTCTATGAATTTGTCTTATGAAAAACAGAAAAGTGACTTCAACATAGTTTTGGGTCAAACAGCATGTTCTTAACCCCCGAAGGAAAAAGAGGGGTGTGTAGTCTGTCTGTCTGTCTGTGGCATCCTGGAGCCTGAACGGATGAAGCGATTTCAATTTAGTTTTTTTTTGTATTAAAAGTGACTTTACTCCGTGCGGGTGTTCTTAGAGATGTTTGATGAAAATCGGTTGAGCCGTCTAGAAGTTATGAGGTAACACACAGTAAGTGGGGAAGGGTAACCGAAGGTCTGCAAATATACTCGAATGGGGTCTCAAATGAAACCGCACTGAAAGGGAATATAAAATGATATAACTACTACTATATCTACTTTATAATAAGCCGCAGTAACAGAAGTTATAGTATTTAACATTGGTGTTTTAATTTTCCAGATCCTGTAGTCCAATGTGTGTGGGGTGTGCTGCTGGTACTGCTCTCAATAAGCAGCTTCATATTCACGCCTCTAGATTTCATGCTGTTAGAGAAACTGAATATGAGACCTGGTAAGTGGATTTTTTAATCTTTACCTTATATCTTAAATGTATGTATAAAAAATCAATTCCACCGTTCGTTGCAATGTTATAACTCAACAATGCATTTACCGATTAGGTTCATTTTGGTCTTGAATTATTAGTGGAAGTCCAGAAAAGGTTTGCACGTAGAGAAAATGTAAAAAAGAGAGAGCTGAGGGCGTAGTTTCTGGCGAACGCTAGTTATTTATACATATAACTTTATAAAGCTGAAGAGTTTGTTTGTTCGAACTCGCTAATCTCCGAAACTACTGGTTCAAATTTAACAATTTTTTGTTTTATAGTCAATTTATCGAGAAATGCTATCTACCTATACTAATATTATAAAGAGGTAAATTTTGTATGTTTGCAAAAGTTTGTATGTAGGGGGTAATCTTTGGACCCACTGGTCGGATTGCCAAAATTCTTTCACTGATAGATAGCTGCAATGTTCCTGAGTGCTATAGGCTATAAAACATTACGCTACGATCAAATGGAGCTGAGCAGCGGGTGAAACCGCGCGAGAGTAGCTAGTAGGCTATAAAACATCACGCTACGATCTGTGGAAACCGAGCACCGAGTGAACACGCACAAAAGTAGTTACTTAATTATAAATGCCACATTGCTCGAGGAATGGAGGAGAGCCATGCTTCGGAACGAAAGAGTCGGCACGACAACATTGATACTATGGTTACCATGTCACTTAACAAAAAAAAATTAAGTATAAGTTGTTAAATAAATGTAACTTCTAAAGTTTAAAACAATTCATGGAGCATAAGTTTTAATATGTTATGGTTAATATTATGTTATATTAAGTACCTAATTTACTTATTTTTTAAATTTTGCATGTTTTTTAATGAAACACGATTGTGCTTTTCATTATTATGTATAACACCACTTCTATACCGTGTTTTATGCAAATAAATTATATATATACTTACTTACTTACGGCTCCACAGCAAACCAGCTTAAAACAACCATAGCTTTGTGTTTCGCCGTGTGATTGAGGATAAATGATACCAAATCATTCCTCTCCCTCTACAAGGCCATCACCAAACACCCTTGTTACTCCTATAGTATTGCGGGAATTCAGTGCAGATTTACTTGATAGCAATTAATTCAAAAACCAATGTTAGTTAATCATTCAGCATTTTTTTAATGTTTTCGCACCTAACCTTTGTGTCACAATGGCTTGTATAACCTAGGCATAACAAACTCTGCGTATGACCTTGAACTCGAATGGCGAAGTGATAATCAAACATGAGAGCCACTGTCTCAATGTCAACTTAGCTATACTTAATATTATAAAGAGGTAAAATTTGTAAGCTTGTAAGTTTGTATGTAGGGGGTAATCTATAGCCGAGGTTCCGGGGTAAGCGCAATGAGGCACCGCGACCTCGGCCAAGAGCAGCAGAAGGAACGGGGAGTTTTTAGTCAGTAAGAGTCTGACACTCTCTATCGCCTTACCCTGGGCGGGAGGAGTCATTGGATGATTTTCCCCTGACAAAAAAAAGAAGTAATCTTTGTAACCGCTGGTCGGATTGCCAATATTCTTTCACTGATAGATAGCTACAATGTTCCTAAGTGCTATAGGCTATAACACATCACGCTACGATTAAATGGAGCCTAGTAGCGGGTGGAACCGCGCGAGAATAGCTAGTTATATAATACACTAGCTTCCGCCCACGGCTTCAGACACGTATATAAGACCCGGTTTTTTTAAACATCACTGTCCCGTTCCCGTTAGGATTTTGTAATACCCTGCTATAATTAAGCTTTAAATTACTTGAGCGGTTTAGATTTTTCATACAAAATGGTTTTCCCGTTAATTCCTGTGTGTTCCGTGGGAATTTCGGGAATTCCTCTCTTAGTGCACCTCTACGGTACCTAAGCTAGGTCCCTTCCAAATTTCAAATGTCTACGTTTAGCTGTTTAGGCTGTGCGTTGATATGTCAGTCGGTCAGTTTCTCCTTTTTTATACATATTTAGATTTGTCAACAACACCAGTACTCGAAAGACTATCATTAGTTCGATTCGGGGTTCGAAATTCGAACCGAAGCATCTAAGTGTGGGAGAGCCATGCTTCGTCACGAATGGGTCGGTTCGACCGGAGTGACAGCACGGCCTCACAGAATACCGACGCGAAATAACCATTGTGTTTCGCTGCGTGAATTAAGTTATCACGCGGCCTAATCCCCTCAATCCCTAAACCCCAAAAGGTCGGCAACGCACTCATTACTCTTGTTGTGGGTGTCCATGGGCGGCGCTGATTGCTTACCAGCAGGTAATCCGTATGCTCTTTGGTGACCCATCACATAAAAAAGAGACTCTTTAACTCGACTTCATGAGCTATGCTTCGACACAAATAGGTCGGCTGGTACCGAAACCTCACAGAAAACGACGTGAAACAACCACAGCGTTATGTTTGAGTCATTTCTCTCTACCAATCCCGCTCCAATCCCTAAATCTCCGAAACCCTACGAAAGGTCCTCATTTTTTGTGACGGCAAAATCAAATTACTTCTCCCGCCCAGAGTCAGGTGGAAGCGGGTGTCAAACTCTAACTGAATAAAAATTCCTTGTTCCTTCTCCTGCTCTGGACCGAGGCCGCGGTGACCCATTGCGCTTACCCCGCAACCCTTGCTCGTTACTCCCCTGCTGTTGTAATTGACGGCGTTTCTTTACCACCAGGTAATCTGTGTGTGACGTAATATAATTTTAAAAAAGTTTACTGTGCAGTCGTGATAGTCCACTTTACCAAATCAGTCAGCCAGACATACTTATATTGGCAATGTGCGCGACGGTGGCGACGGTGGCGACGCGTAGCGTTTACAACATTTGCGGAAGCTGTCAAATAATAACAATGTAAACATTCTAATTTTCTTTGCAAATATAAATAGAACCAAAGATTAAAATAGTATTGTTGACATTATTTTAGTGCATATTATTCATTACTTTTACTGTAAAATAAATCTTTATATATAAAAATGGATCGCAAAATGTGTTGGTAAGCGCATAACTCAACAACGCCCTGGACCAATTTTGCCAATTCTTTTTTTGTTATGTTTGTTTTTATCAGGAGAAGGTTCTTATCAAAGAAAATATTAGAAAAGAAGAGGGGAAGATTAGGAAAAAGTGACCCTTTGATAGTTGGACCCGTGCGAAGCGGGGGCGGGCCGCTATAATAAAAAAACCGACAGCTGATCATCCGCATTTGTTTCCAATTTCTGCCGTGTTGTGCGCTGCGGTCGTTATCTGACCGCCACTACTCGCTTTGCACATAGCCAATAGCACCATTTTTATTATATTTTTGGGTGTAAGCACAATAACACCAGTCCTGAGCAGGAGAAGGAGAAGGGACAGGGTAGTTTTTAGTCAGTAACAGTCAGACACTCCCTCTCGCTTCACCCTGGGTGGGAGCAGAAACTGAATGGCTTTAACCAATCAAAGCTTGCTAAGTAACGGTGGCTAAGGCGCCCGCTTCTCATGCATGAGGGTGCGGGCTCGAAATCTGGCAAGTACAAATGTGGCTGTTTCCGAGTAACATGTACTTTCTAAGATTTTTCAGACACCACTGACATACAGAATTCTCTCCTCGCGTCCCTGTTCCCAGAGACCTACGATTTAGTGATTTTCAAGGCAAGAGTCAATAGGCACTTTTTGAGTCTGCGTGTTCCACCTTTGACCCCATCATTGCTTTCCATCCAAGGGCGGATCCACCGTTGTGGGCACGATGGGCATGCCCACAACCTTAATACACTTGTGATTGAAATAGGTTTGGACCGAAACTGACTATTAGAAATTAGAAAAAATCGTGTCCGACTTCTTCCTAAGTTTATTTACATTCCTAAGGCCAAAGTCCCGATGCTCAGAAAAAAGGAAATCTAATTCATAAGTGCATAAACGATTTGCATGATTGTTAATGAGCATGTCCATGCTGCGACTCATACTTAGCCGATTTTCTAGTAGCTGTGACCACAACCTTTTTTGAAGGCTGGATCCGCGCTTGTTTCCATCAGGCGTGGTAGAGATCAAACGCACTCAAAATAACTAATTAAATAAAAATGTTGAAGGAAAACATCGTGAGGAAACGTGGACTTTTTATTTCTAATTATAATCTATGCTCAAACCTTCTCCGTGTGAGAAGGAGCCTTTACTCAGCAGTAAGCACTTATACTTAGGCTGATGATGATGATGAATAAAAATGTGTGTCCATAAGAAGGTCATCAGGTTAAATTTGTATATGTTCCATATTATGTCATACAGACAAATTTTATTACCAATATGCTGTTAATTGATTATAAACCTCAAACAAATATATAAAATGACATATTACAATACACGAATTTTCCTATATTTAGGTATTCTACATTAATTATCTGCAATATAATAATTAAATATCTAAATGTTTTACTTAGCGCAAGTCTGAAAATGGCTGAACAGAATTCGCTAATTGATTTTTTGTTGCGTCTGCAAAGGATAAAACGAGTAGACGGATTACCTGATGGTAAGCAAGCAAGCAAGCAACGCCGCCCATGGACACTCGCCATACCAGAAGACTTACTAAAAAGGAGTTACTTCTAGTGCGTTGCCTACCTTTTGAGGGTCATTAGAGATTTAAGGATAAGGATTTGAGGATTCAGTATTTTTCCGTGTGGGAGAGCCGTGCTACGGCACGAATGGTCAGCGAGATATCACGGCCTCACAGAAAACCGGCGTGAAATAACCACAGCGTTGTGTTTCGCCGTATGAGTGAGGTTACCGGAGGCCTAATCCTTCCACTCCCCTGAACCCTAAATCTCCAACACCCTAACTAAAAGGTCGGCAACGCATTCCTGACTCCTCCGTTGTGGGTGTCCATGAAGCACCGTGACCTCGGTCTAGAGCAGACTTCTCCCGCCCAGCCCTGAGCGGGAGAAGACATTTGATGATTTTGCCTCACAAAAAAAAGAATGGTAAGCAATCGACTCCGGCATAAAAACTTCTTAGGTAGGTATTAGACTTTCGGAGATATAGGGGTTGGTGGAGGAGAAAAACGAGTGGGTCTTCCATAACCTCACTTACACGGCGAAACACAAAGCTGTAGTTGTTTCACACCAGTTTTCTCTAAGGCCGCAGTATCTCTCCAGTCAAGCCAACCCATTCGTGCCGAAGCATGGCTCTCCTACACTTAATTTTTCTTGCACGGTTGGTGCGTTAGCTGGGCTTCTGGCTGCCGTGCATCGCGGATTCGATTCCCGCACGGAACAACTCATTGTGTGATCCACAAATTGTTGTTCAGGTTCTGGATGTGATGTGTATGTGAAATTGTATGTTTGTAGCCGCATCCACGACACAGAAGAAGAAAATAGTATTGTGAGGCAATGTTGAAAAACCAAAATGGCTCTCCCACACTTAATAATCGATTTTCTTTATTTCTGTCCCCAGGTATGCCACCTTACGAGTGGTGGTCGGACCCTCCGGATGAGGTCAAGTTAAGAGTCTACGTCTTCAACGTGACTAATCACGAGAGGTTCCTGCTGGGACTCGACCACAAGCTGAACGTGGAAGAAGTCGGTCCTGTGGTCTACTTGTAAGTATTTTAAGAAGAATTTAACTATAACATGACATATAGACTCGACCGGAATGATACCACGGCCTCACAGAAAACCGGCGTGAAATAACCACAGCATTGGGTTTGCCGTGTGTCTGAGGTTACCGGAAGCCCAATCCTTCCCCTCCCCTAATCCCTAAATCTCCAAAACCCTAATCCCTAAAGTTTGGCAACGAACTCAAAACTCCTCTTTTGTAGCGGGTGTCCATGGAATGCGCTGATTGCTTGCCATCGGGTAAAGAAAAGAAATACCAAGATCAAACTTTACTTAAACGTTTTAGTGGATATTGTCATTGACTTGGTCATTTTCCAAATAGTTAAACGCAGTAATGACTACATTTGGACTCAGTACTTACGTATTTAAACAGGCACACAGCAGATCATAGTATACCAAATAATGTTCAAAGAATTTGCGACTTTATTTCAAGAGTATGAAGATTTATAGTTGTATTATATGGTGACGGTATATTTAATTTGTTTTTACTCCCCTAGATGTCGTTAGAGATGACTTAGGGCACTTACAACCCGAGCGTACGGTGCGTAGCGTTCCGCGCGCGCCTAAAAGAGCCAATAGACCACCACAGACGGGGCCCCATAGGGCTGATGTTCAGCCGGGGTTGCGGGGTAAGTGCAATGAGGCACCGCGACCTCGGCCCAGAGCAGGAGAAGGAACAGGGGGGTTTTTAGTCAGTAAGAGTCTGACACTCCCTCCCGCCCGGCCCTGGGCGGGAGAAGTCATTTGATGATATTCCCCTCACAAAAAAAGGGCATTTAAAAAGACCAGCAGTATAATTCATTAAATTAATAGTGGAAAATTTTTGTATCAACTTTGCACTTTTACGAAGCTGGGGCGGGTCGTAAGTGGAGTATATAATCCAAGATGTCTGATCGATGAGGTCACAGAACCTCATAACGGATTCATCATCATCAGCCTATAAGTGCCTACTGCTGAGCAAAGGCCGCTTCTCACATGGAGAAGGTTTTGAGCATTAATCACCACGCTTGCTCAATGCGGGTTGGCGATTTCAAACTTAGAATTTATAAGTCCAGGTTTCCTCACGATGTTTACCTTCACCGTAAGTCATTGGTGTCTAAACAATTATAGAAAGTACATATAACTTGGAAAAAGTCACATTGGTACTTGCCAGGTTCCGAACTTGCACCCTCATGCATGAGAAGCGGGCGCATTAACCTCCGGGCCACCACTACATCGACATAACATAACACCGACATAACGGATTACGGATGGTAATACGTTGTTTAAGGTCAGTGATGCAATGTGACGCACTCTGGTTTTATGGTTTAAAGACAGGTCTCTACTACAAGCGAGGCGATATTTATAAAGTTCCTGACAAGCGCTAATGTGACTTTTTCCGAGTTATATGTAATTTTATAAGTATACTAGCTTTTGACCGCGACTCCGTTCGCGTGGAATAGTGACTTTCCGCTGATTTTTGGTATAAAAACGATCCTATATCCTTTCTCGAGTTCCAAACTATGTCTGTAAAAATTTCACTGAAATCGGTTCAGTAGTTTAGGCGTGAAAAAAAGACAGACAGACAGATTTATTTTCGCATTTATCGACAAAAGCTAGTTAAAATGTAAGTAATCATACTTTCATTTCATTAATAGATTCGGCTACATACATTAATTTTAGATTTTTCCGTCATAAGTATAATATTTGACGTCAACATTATTACGTCATATGATGCGAATTCATACAAAGTTCATAGAAAAGTATTGTTATTTACATTTCATTAGACGTATTGAATTTGACTAAGTAGAATTTTAAGTGTGGGAGAGCCAAGCTTCGGCACGAATGGGTCGGCTCGACCGGAGTGATACCACGGCCTCACAGAATACCGGCGTGAAACAACCACAACGTTCTGTTTCGCCGCCTCCCCGCCCCTCCCCCTATCCCTTCCCGATCCTTATATCCGCAACACCTATCCCCAAAAGGCCGGCAACGCACTCGTAACTCCTTTGGTGTTGCGGGTGTCCATGGGCGGCGCCGATTGCTTACCATCAGGTAATCCGTCTGCTCGTTTGCCGACTTGTACCATAAAAAAAGGAGTTGGAAACTTACGGAGTCGTGCCGAAGCAATGGCTCTCTCACGTACAAAAATACAGGGTGTAAAAAGACACTTAACGAAGCCGAAAGCCACGTATTCTACCCATTATTTGGACCATTTTTTTCTTTAAGACCATAGCTGGGACTCCACGGTTCTCGAGATATTGAAGGTCAAAGATGCATTTAAAAAATTTTTTGCGCAATCGTATTCTATGTGTTATTACAAAACTTTTTCCCAAACAAACATTACCTGAATTTTCAATTTTTCTAAATAAATTACGCATTTGAAGTTACGAACAGTAATTCTTTTTACACCCTGTATAGCATTCATATATTAATATGTAGGTATGTATATTATATCTATCTATGTGCTGTAACCCTTTTGTATTCTTACATTTAATGACTTCAAATACAAAATAAAATTACGGAAGTAACACGTTAAGAATATGTATGTATTGTTCATCTTGTTTGCTGATGCGGCAGGCGGTATTTTGATTCCATTCGTATCTTTATTTATGTAATCTATGTATTCTTTAACAAACGTCTCTAAGTAAAGGATTATTAAGTGTGGGAGAGCCATGCTTCGGCACGAATGGGTCGGCTCGACCGGAGTGATACCACGGCCTTACAGAAGACCGGAGTGAAACAACCACAGCGTTGTGTTTCACCGTTTGAGTGAGGTTACCGGAGGCCCAATCCTTCCCCGCCCCCAATCCCTCCTCAATCCCTAACTCTCCAAATCCCTTATCCCTAAAAGGTCGGCAACGCACTCGTAACTCCTCCGTTGCGGGTGTCCATGGGCGGCGCTGATTGCTTACCGTCAGGTAATCCGTCTGCTCGTTTGCCGACCTGTTACAAAAAAAAAGTATTGTTCATCTTATTTGCTGATGCGGCAGGCGTTATTTTGATTCAATTCGTATCTTTATTTATGAAATCTATGTATTCTTTAACAAACGTCTCTAAGTAAAGGATTATTAGGGCTTTCGCAATGATATCTTTAGTACGTATGCAGACTTATGACCTATTATGATTAGTATGAACTTTCGGTTGATTTTAGCGTCTTCTCAGAATAGCGTTCCGCGCGCGCCTAAAGAGCTAATAGACCACCACAGATGGAGCCAATAGACCACTGCAGATGGAGGGCCAACAGGGCCGCTATTTAGCCGGGGTTGCGGAGCAAGCTTAATAAGGTTCCGCGGCCTTGACCTAGAGCAGGAGAAAGAACGGTGTCTAACACCAGAAAAATAATAATAAAAATTAAATTTTCCTCCTCAAAATAGAAGTAATTACCTACATAGGAAATGCCAGATTCATCCAAATCACACACCACATTTTAAGTGTGGGAGAGCCAAGCTTCGGCACGAATGGGTCGGCTCGACCGGAGTGATACCACGGCCTCACAGAAAACCGGCGTGAAACAACCACAGCGTTGTGTTTCGCCGTGTGAGTGAGGTTACCGGCGGCCCAATCCCTCTCCTTCCCCTATCCCTTCCCAATCCTTATATCCCCAACCCCTATCCCCAAAAGGCCGGCAACGCACTCGTAACTCCTTTGGTGTTGCGGGTGTCCATGGGCGGCGCCGATTGCTTACCATCAGGTAATGCGTCTGTTCGTTTGCCGACTTATCCCATAAAAAAAAACAAAATCATCCAGTTTAGTTATATTGTGTAAAAGTATCTACAATCTGCTTTGTACTCAATTCAGCGTCAGAGGAGTTCCAACTGCGCAGCCGGATTTATGGCGATTATTGATTCGAGGATTAGTGAATATGGAGATTTGGGAATTAGAGATAGGGGGAGATTGGAACTCCAGTAACCTCACTCCATCGTAGTACTTTTGGTACAATAATGATAAGGGACTTACGGACCATGAGTTTTCGAAGAATCCTTATGCTGTTCACAAAGCATATAGCACGTCGTTATGACTGTACGTCTGGTGCGGTGGCTGGGCAACTCGCTGGCGCGCAACTTGTCGCGGGTTCGATTCCCGCACGGAACAACTCTTTGTGTGATCCACAGATTGTTGTTCCGGGTCTGGTTGTGATGTGCATGTGATATTGTATGACGACGACACAGAAGAAAATCATAGTGTGGGGCAACGCTTTTTAAAAAAAAAAGAAATCTTTTCAGTTATACCATCTTTTTGTTTCAGAGAAAAGCTTCTCCATTCGAACGTTCGCTTCAACGAGAACAGTACGATGACGTATACCGCTAAGAGATTCCCTATATTCCTGCCGGACCTCAACCATCTAGACCTAAATGCTACCATCATAGTCCCTAATGTTGGGGTTTTGGTAAGTCTTCATATTTAAACCTTTTTCTTATATAATACGGCGGTAAACGCCTAGATCACCTGGAGCATTAGGCACTAGGAGCATTAGAAGGGTTTGCAAGACCTTGCCGGCCTTTTGTGGATAAGGAGTTTTGTGAGTTAATGCAGATGAGACACATTAAACTGTAAAACCATAAAACCTAAGTAAAAAAATCTTAGAGCCCCTCGGAACTACTTACCTACCTATCTGAAGTTCAGATTCTGAACAGCGAAATACTATGACTGCATGGTTAGCATAATATCTGGGCGGCTGCTCTACAGTAAGGTCGGAACCACGTAAAACAATTGTGAGTTTATTTCGTAATTCTGTATGCACTGTAGTGTAAGATTAAATTCGTCTAAAATATATTTCTCAATGCGGACTGACTCTTTGCCTACAAAGTCTAGTTTACAAACCCATAATTTCATAAACACAATATTACCACCAGACCCGGTATTACAATTTGTAGGTATAATATACAATTTCTATAACCGTTATAACGTTTTGAGCTGAAAACGATACCAACGCCATCTGTGATTGGTAAAGTGAATCATAGTAAGTTAGCTCTTATAGCACAAAATATAAATACTTATTTAACGCAATAAAATCAATAATCTTATTTTTCAATTCTAAGCTTATTTTAAGTGCATTCGTAGATGATACATGAGAGAATTTGAGTAATAATTAATGTTTTTGGCGCCAAAAATTACGAAACCATGAAAGTAATGTCATATATATGGTTTTGATTATTTATTGTTTGTGGCATTAAAAAGTATTGAAGTTGTCTTTATTTCTCTTTGACTAACTGGTAAATTATACATAGTAATAAAGACGCAATGTTATAATAAACGTTAAAAATATTTATACACATACGCAACAAATCGCAAAACACCACAAAACAACCATAGCAAATGGTGTTATTTTGCAAAACGCTATTAAAAACAAACAAGTAAAGAAACGTACTAAACGTAGTAATTTTCACAATAATGTCAGGGATGCAAAAGCAATTTAAATTCATAATAAGTATTGATTGTATTAGTAGCTTTTGCCCGCGACTTTGTTCGCGTGGAATAGTGACTTCCTGCAGATTTTTGGTATAAAAACTATCCTATGTCCTTTCTCAACTTCCAAACTATGTCTGTACAAATAGGTTCAGTAGTTTAGGTGTGAAGAAAAGACAGACAGAGTAACTTTCGCATTTATAATATTAATTTTTATTTGTTGCTATTATCTAAAAGATTCGCTTTTTAAAAGAAGTACACTCGTTGCTTGAAGGTTTCAAGGTCGCATCGGTTCGGAAATACCGCCACCGAAAGATCATTCAAAAGCTTGCCTGTGTATGGCAGAAAATTTTGCAAATATTATACCGTTGTTGACTGCCAACCATCTACAATATATGTAAGCATTTGAGTTCCAGGTTTCTATACAATCGCGAGCCAAAAAGATGACAAAGCACTTGTGTCAGCCGAGGTCCAAGCTCTTTGTCATCCTTTCGGGGACGTTTAGAGATTTGAAGAAAGGGGATGGGGTGTACTGGAACACAGCGCAAATTTGATTAACACTGGTTTTCTGTGCGAGTTTGATAACACTTCGGTCGAACTGGCCCTTTTATTTTTTTATGGGATAGGTCGTTAAACAAACAAACAGCTACCTGATGGTAAGCAATCGGCTCTGCCCATGAAGACCAACAGAGTTCCGAGTGCGTTGCCGGCTTTTTAGTGATAAGGGTTTCTGAAATTTACAGAGGAGGAGAGATTAAACCTCCGGTAATCTTACTCACACTGCGAAACACAACGCTGTGGTTGTTTCACGCTGGTTTTCTGTGAAGCCGAAGTACGATTCTGGTCGAGCCGGTCCATTCGTGCCGAAAGAATTTGCAAGTGTGTTGCTTATAATTAATTTCTCTATTCCAGGGCATATTCTCTTACCTCCACAACGCGAATTACTTCGTGAAGACTGTCCTAAGATCTCTGGTCAGCATGTACAGTCCAGAGCCGTTCGTCCAAGTTTCTATATACGATTACCTCTGGAATTTCACGGACCCTGTTCTGGAAATGTCCAGAAATTTGGTTCCTGGTTTGGTACCAGTCAGCAATGCTGGAATGTTGGCTAGGGTAAGTCTAGTTTTGAAGTTTTTGTTATAAGACTTGCTTCCGCTCGTGACTGTATAAATAATACTCCAGAGCCTTTAATCTATTGATCTTGAATTATTTTATCTACCTATTGAAAAAAACGCATCAAAATCGGTTACGTAGTTTTAAAGATCTAAGCATACATAGGGACAGACAGCGGGGAGTGACTGTTTTATGCTACGGTGTTGACCTGATCATTAATTTTAGATTTAAATTTGTATATTTAGTTCTTTTAAGTAGTTGCAAGTACAACTGCTAAGTAAGAGATCTTGGGTTTGATACCCGGGTCTTACTTGCTCAGAAATCACACGGCGTCTAAAATTAAAGCCTATGTGTAGCAGTAAGCGTCATAAAATACTTGGTGGAAATTGGTCAACATTTCAAACTTTGATGAAATTAAGTCATTTTTTCTTCTATTTCCAGGTGTACGCAGACTTTACGGACGAGATGACAGTGAAGATCGGACCTCAGTGGGGTCACAAGCAGTTCTTCCAGATAGATCGGTTTCGGGGGCAACCACAAATACCTGGATTTGATCCTGATGTGAGTAGTTCTAGTGGAATTTCGAGGGTCGGTAGAATTTTGAGGGTCTAAATGGGTCTTGTCTCGTTTACCAGTGCCATCTTCCGGAGGGGAGACTAAGCACTAAATATCGATCGATCGTTTAATAGTACTTGATTCTGAGATGAAAATGTCAAGTAAAAAAATATTTATTCCTACTGTCACCTTATTGAAAAGTCAAAATAGTATATCAGTTTGTGCTCGTTCCAATTTGTAGATTCAGACCAGAAATGTAAACAACACTTTTTTTTTTCAAAAAGAAACTATTTCCCATACTAAGATTTCCTCCTGTATCGTGGATGCTTTTATAAACATACAAACTCATATACAAAATCCACCCAGACTCGAAACAAAAATTTGTAAATCACATAAAGTGTTGTTCCGTTCGGGAATCGAAACCGGGAAACGTTGCCAGTTGCCCAGCTACTGTCCCAACCATGATTAGATTTTCCAAAAATGCTTACAGCCTGTCAAAGGCCATTCAGTGTTTTTAATTGTAGGAGAGCCATGCTTCGGCACGAATGGGTCGGCTCGACCGGAGTCATACCACGGCCTCACAGAATACCGGCGTGAAACAACCCACAGCGTTGTGTTTTGCCGTGTGAGTGAGGTTACCGGAGGCCCAATCCCTCCCCTTCCCCTATCCCTTCCTGATCCTTATATCCGCAACCCCTATCCCCAAAAAGCCGTCAACGCACTCGTAACTCCTTTGGTACTATGGGTGTTCATGGGCGGCGCCAATTGCTTACCATCAGGTAATCCGTCTGCTCGTTTGCCGACCTATACCATAAAGAAAAAAAGTGTTGGACTGTAAGTCGGTATGGGCATATTGTAGGTTTTGCTATAATCTTCATAGTTGGCAAGCTAGTTGGAGATCTCAGTCTACAAACATATGTTTAACATTATTCATTACTGCGTTCCAGGTATGTCCAGATCGCATATTCGGCTCGACAGAGGGCGTCATGTACGCGCAAAGACTCACAAAACAGGATGTTCTACAATATTGGAGGAAGACTGTTTGCAAGCTTATGCCGTTGTACTTTGATAGTAAGTGCCATTTTTTACGTCCACCGTGATAGTCCGGTCAATATGGGTGTGAAAATAGATTGGTCAATTAACAAAAATCACCAAGGAGACCTTTAGTTCACCATTATAATTAAATGCTCAAAGGATAAATCCAGTAAGTGCATTAGTTAAAGTTTATTTGGGGACAAAGATTGAGGATTTTTTTTTTATTCTTATTTTTTTAAAAAACTTTGCTCCACACTATGATTTTCTTCTGTGTCGTGGGTGCGTTTACAAACATACAAATTCACATACCTACACAACACACCCAGACCCGAAACAACAATTTGTGGATCACACAAACTGTTGTTCCGTGCGGGAATCGAACCCGCGACACGTTGCACAGCAGCCAGTTGCCCAGCCACTGCGCCAACCGTGCAGTAAAATTTTTGGATTTTTCTCGAAATCTGTAGGAATTTTCGCAAAATTAGGTATCTCAGACTAAATTTTAAGCTCTTCAAATTCTCTACAAGAATGTCCTCGATAGGTAACAGAATAATAAATAGTATTATTAGGTACTTTTCAATATTTATTTATAACCGGATGTTTGTTACTCAACAACACCAAAACGGCGGGTCGGATCTTGATGAAATTTGGGACAGGCATATGAAACACACTCCGAAAAAAACAAGGGCTACTTTTTATCAACTTAGCTAGCGGGCGAAGCCGCGGGCGGAAGCTAGTCTTCTATATATTTCTGTATTTCTTCTTCCAGGTGAGCTGACAATGTTCGATGTCCCACTGTACCGCTACAATTTATCAGAGAGCGCTTTCGATCGTGTCACGAATGGCACAGACTGCTACGACACAGTCCCGAGTCTACATCCAGGCCTTAGTGATACATCGAAGTGTTATTTCGGTAAGGATATGACCTTTTATAATCTTAAATCCATTGTTTTTTCCTTTGGTTTGTCTTGCCTTGGGTGGGCCAGAGAGATCAGCCTCATACTGGCCAAAAACCACCTCCGATTAGAAGCCGGGGTATCAGCACATTTTTGTGCTTGCACCAACAACCCTGGATCCGTTTAAAAGTTATTGAGTACCAATAAGGGTACCTCGCCACCCGAATAGATCCAGACAGAGCGTACGGCGCGTAGCGTTCCGCGCCTCCCTCAAAGAGCGAATAGACCACCACAGACGGGACCCTATAGATCTGATGTTCAGCCGAGGTTGATAAGGCACGGCGGCTTCGGCCAGGAACACACGGCCTGTCAATAAGAATCTGACACTCCCTCCCGTCCGACCGTGGGCGGGAGAACACATTAGATGATGTTCCTCTCACAAAAAAATGGCGGCGATTTGTAAATCGAACGATCTTTTACCGTCCTATGACAAAAAAAAACTCTAACATAATAACAAGGTATTCCGGTTTTAAAAATTCGAATTCCTATTTTTTTACAGATTTCCCAATGGTGGCTTCTTTCCCGCATTTCTACACCGGCGGTATACCGAAAGATAAGTTTGTGACCGGCCTCAAACCTGACAGATACAAACATAATTCCTTCGTTATTTTGGAACCGGTAAGTGTAGCGCAAAATATTTAAACCATTTTTTATAGTTGAGTTACACAGCTTTGAATAATATTGTCGTGATGGTCCAGAGATTAAGAAGCCCGTTTTTTGGGGCTTTTTTATTTGTTTTTAATTCAAAATTGGCGATCGTAGAGGGCGCTGCCGTCGATTTAATACCAACATAACGCACGCACGCACTTTTGATATTTTGCAAGAGAGATGAGTGAATACTGAGAGAATATTGTATAAAATTGGTGTTATATTTTTATTTCTTTTACTAATATACAGTACTACTAGCTGTTTCGATAAATCAATATCCTATAGCATTCAGGAACATTGTATCTATCTATCAGTGAAATAATTTTACAAATCTGACAAGCGGTTCCAAACATTAGGTACCCCCTACGTACAAACTTACAATTGACTCTTTATAATACACCTATACCTAAGAAATGGGTAGTGTTATGGCATGGTTATGTGCCGTACTACCAAATAAAAGTCATTAGGTAGGGTACAAAATCGCCTAACTATCCGACAGAACATAGCTAAGTTGCTATTAATAGTCTAAAAATCTTTGTTTCTGCTTCTAGTACACTGGTACGCCCTTCGAAGCGGTGGCGCGGATGCAGAGCAACCTACTGGTTCACGACCTTACAGGGTTTCAGGAGAAGTTTGCGAATGTGTCCAACTCCGTGATACCTTTGTTCTGGGCCGAATATGTAAGTCGCATAACCTAACTAGCTATTATTCATCCGCTGTTCGGCTCCTATAGATCCTGGCGTGTTTCCATCCTTGATAATCGGATTATTCGACACAGAAAGTACTGTTAAATTCGAACCAGTACTACGTTCAAACAAACAACTGCCTATATAATCTTTAGCCGGGGTTGCCGGGTAAGCGCAATGAGGCACCGCGACCCCGGGCCCAGAGCAGGAGAAGGACTGAGAGGTTTTTAGTCAGTAAGAGTCTGACACTCCTTTCTGCCCCACTCTGGGCGGTAGAAGTAATATGATAATTTTCCCCTCACAAATAAAAACCTATAACCTGTTTGTAGTCAAACTGCGATTACGGTTGCAAAACAACTTTCTTGGCAAAAAATATAGGAATTGGGCTTACCTACTTATAAAAAAAGTATAGTACATATCCACAAACGAGAAGACGAATCTCTTGATGGTAGGCAATCGGCCTCGCTTAAAGACACAGGAGTAACAAATGTTGGGCCGCGCTCAAGCGGCTCCTTCCCAACCTCGGGGGGCCAAACGCCTCCTGCCGGAGGTTGTACATGGGGATTGTGCGATCCATGGCCCTCTACGGTGCCCCTGTGTGGGCGCCGGATTTGAAGCGGCGGCCGGCTCGTACGCTGGTCGCGTCCCAGAGGGTCATGGCTATTCGAATAATCCGCGGATATCGCACGATCTCCGGGGAGGCGGCGAACCTCCTTGCCGGATCACCGCCATGGGATCTGGAAGCGAAGGCGCTCGCGCGCGTCTACAGTTTGCGCGCAGACGCGCGTCGCCGGGGCGAGGATCCTCTGCCGCGCCAAATTAGTGCGTGGCGGAATGAGCTCCGGCGAGATCTCATGGCTGAGTGGAAGCAGCGACTGTCGCAACCGAGGGCCGGGCACGCTACTATAGCAGCGATAAGACCCCTCTTTGAGGAGTGGCTTGAGAGACGCCACGGCGTCCTCACCTTCCGCCTGACGCAGGTGCTTACCGGGCACGGCAGCTTTGGTAGGTTCCTGTTTCGGATCCAGCGGGAGGAAACGCCCGAGTGTCGTCATTGTGAGGATCACCTGGAGGACACGGTGGAGCATACAGTGGCGGAGTGCCCTGCTTGGGCTGAGCACCGCCGTGTTCTCAGGGAAGTGATCGGCGGCGGCGACCTCTCGCGCCCGGCCTTAATCGAGGCCATGGTGCAGCGTGAGAGGAACTGGGAAGCTATCTCCTCCTTCTGCGAAGCAGTTATGCTCGCAAAGGAGGAGGCGGAGCGCGTGAGGGAACTATCCTCCTCGCGCCCCAGCCGCCGCAGAAGGCGACATTCCGGACGTCGGGGATCGAGAGATGATCTCCGGCCACCGTAAGCGCGGGTCTGCGGACGGCGAGTAAGGGTAGCTCGCCGCCCGACCAGAACCGGACCCGAGCGTACGGCGCGTAGCGTTCCGCGCGCGCCTCAAAGAGCCAATAGACCACCACAGTCGGGGCCCTAAAGGGCTGATGTTTAGCCGGGGCTGCGGGGTAAGCGCAATGAGGCACCGCGACCTCGGCCCAGAGCAGGAGAAGGAACGGGGGGGTTTTTAGTCAGTAAGAGTCTGACACTCTCTCTCGCCTTACCCTGGGCGGGAGAAGTCATTGGATGATTTTCCCCTGACAAAAAAAAAAAAAAAAAAAAGGAGTAACAAATGTGGTTTTGTAGGTTATTAGAGATATAAAGATAGTGGATTTGAGGATTAAGGATGTGGGAAAAAGATTGGGCCTTCAGTAACCTCATTCACTTGACGAAACAAAAAGCTGTGATTGTTCCACGTCGGTATTCTGTGAGACTGTGGTATCACTCGGGCTTAAGTTTCGTTTTGTATTTAGTCGTGGGAGGTTATGGCTCTCGTAGGCTCTTCCTTGAGTAATCTGTCGCAATTGATAGTGCTACATTCACAGGTCTAACCTCTTAAATCGTAAAATTTAAATCAGCTTAATTAAATCTCTTCTTATGTTTCAGCACCAAGAGGGCCTTCCGTCGAAAATAAGGATGACTGTTTATTTTGCAACAGTAATATTACCGCCATTATCGATGATCGTATCGACTAGCATGCTCTTACTCGGAATATATTTACTCGCCAAACTCATTTACAGAAATAATTTAGAGAATGATAGTCTAAAATCAATACTTATATTTAAAAGCAAAAATAATAATGCAAATAAAAATAAAATGCTAGCATTCGAGAAAGAAACTTTTTTGAAGACTAGTTAGATTAATTTTTACAATCCATCGATTGTATGTATGTTTGAGTCGATATTTTTATAGAACGATGTTCTATGATTGAATGGAAAAGCTTACAGTTTTTAGTTAAAAATGGGTATAAATAATTTTTAAGCAAAGATTAGTTAATAAATAATTTTATAAAATATACTGGGCAGACTGTCAGATAAAGCACGAAACAATCGTTCTTTATAAATATATTGACTCAAAAATTATTATATTGTAAGTTTTATAATAAAATAAAAGGGAAATGGTAAACAATGTAAATAAAGACTGAATATCATATATTTCATGACATGGCCAAAGCACAAACGAAATTTAATGAAATTGATTTTAATTTAAAAATAACGTTTAATTTTTCCTTCTTATTACATCTACCTCAGAGTTACTGTAGAAAAAAAACTACCAACATTAAAAGTAACAGTTTTGACTCTTATTTTGTTTATTTTTCTTTTTATAATTAAAGTGTAAGTACTTATTCTTGATTTATTTTAAATACTTATTATTTGTTAATATCTCTTAGCCGAAACTATTATTTTTAATCTATTGAATAGATTATGAAAGGTGTAAGCGTATATTTTAAAAATATATTGGGGGTTAGTTTGTAGCTGTGATTGTTCCTAATTTAAAATAGTTGCAACAATTTGCTCACTGTTAGCTTTAAGTTAATTATAATAAATAAATACATTTTATATATCATATTGTTTGATCTTATACTGATCACATGTAGTAATCTGAATGTGTACATGAAATGAATGTAACATGAACGATGATGATGGAATGAACAATGAAATGTGTACATCTCGAAATCAACAAAACGTTATGTCTTCTGAAAAAAACAAGATACTTCCGGTTTTATTGTTTGACTATTATTCGACAACAAACACCAAGCATCGAAAAACAAATACTAAAGTAAACTTTTTTCAAGTTTAAAATGTTTAAACAAATATTAAAACATCTATATTTTATCTACTTTTCTCTGATCTAAGCTTTACTTTCGTTTCTTGACGTTTCATTAGGTAGGTAGTCGCTTTGACAATGACAAGAACTGTCAATGTCGTGAACAACCGCCCGTAGAAAAAAAGTTTTATAAAATTTCGCGGGTGTCAGCAAATTTTTCATTTCCTTACAAGGTATTCTCGTATTCATATTACTATGTTTCTTTTCACTACATTTTATCAATATAAATGCTTTCTGCGTCTTATTTACCGTCTATTAATTTGTTTAAATTAGTTCTACCGCTTTAAAAATGAATAATAAGAAATGCTTAGATCTTAGTAAAGGTTGGTTGTTGTGCGAATCTAAAAGTTTTCCAGGCAAACTTTATTATTTCAATGTGCGTAATGGAGAAGCCGTATGGACTTTAAACGACGCTACTGTACGTATGACTTTAATTTTATTATTATTTACTTGCTTATATTACATTAAACATGGTTGCGAACTCTTTTGTTGCGCAGAATAATTGTTGTAAGTTTTATTGAATCTATACCAAGTCTTTAATACACATTCGAAATGCGATTTTGTGATAATAATTAAAGCTATTTTGCACATATCTCCATCAGAATATTATTGCAAAAGCAATTTTATATGCGACAAATAAATTCGTAACTTCACATAGGCACCTAAAAATCCCTAAGAGCTGTTATTTCAATAGTCAGATAAATGTTATCTAAGAAATAAAATTGTTGCTGTCACTGTCTTATACAAACATTATGACGCGACAGCATCATAATTTTATTGTTCACCAGGTAACTTTTGTCTAAACATTAAAAGCTTTATCAAGTAATTTTAATTTTATTTGATACTCTATGAGTTATCTATGGTCAATCATAATAAAGAGGTAAAGTACAAACAAAGGGTATTTAAATTTAGTTAAGTAAATACTTGTGGGATTGGGAGTCTGGAAACTTCAATCACACAGCGAAATTGTTTCACACCGGTTTTCTAACGCTGTGGTATAACTCTGGTTGAATCGACCCATTCATGCCAAAGCTTGGCTCTCCCACACTTAACTTATTTTCTCTTCAAACAAATTCCAGCCTTATCTCTTATGCTTTTAGCTTTATTGTATAAATTGGTTTAGTAAATCTAGGTAATCTTTCTATATTTTACATAAAAAATACATACTTAATTAATTAGATACTTATATTTTTATTTTTAGACAACTATAAAAAATAACAACTCCACTGAGAATATTCCGGACAAATCATACAATTATCCAGAACCAACAACTTTACCTGGTGATCTTTCAAGTACGTACCAAAACATTGGTACGAGCATTAAACCAGAGATCCATACAAACTTACCTACAACGTCAAACTTCCAACCAATATCTGGGCAACCTGTGTTCCCAAAATATTCACCCAATGTAGACACAAAAATAACCAAAATTGTCTGGACCCCCATTCAAGTACCGATGCCAGTCTGCTGGAACGTTGAAGCCAAGAAACCAGTGTCCGATAAAATCACCCAGACTTCGGAGTACAAAGAGGAAATATTAGTACAAACGTGTGACGTACCATTGTCTCAACGGTTTGTTAACAATCAAAGAAATAATATTAATAAAGCTACAAATTTTGAAACATCAACTCCGATGACTCTAAAAACTCAAGTTACAAACCCAAATCATTTTTTCAACGAATCTAACCATACTGTATTTCAACCGAAATCTCCCGGTGAAACAAAGTGCAATGGAAAATCAGTCTTCACGTTTGGTGACAAGGTTGAAAGTGGCAAAACTGAAATTAAGGAGATGAGTGAAACACAGGGTGTTCTGAATAATTTGGATAGTAATGATTTGAGATTCCGTTTGCTAGCTAAAAGGAAGAAGTCAGTTGATTTTACTTGTGAACCTGCAGTTGAGAGTAAGTTTTTCATAGTTATTAGGTATTTCGATATAAGAGGTAGGCACAGGTGCCTGTAACGCCTTCTTTACACAAATTAAAATACGAAAATACTACGCGAAACGCAACGTAAATGTTGTTTCAAAATTGGCGAAATTGGTCCAGCCGTTTCTGAGTTATGTGCTTACCAACACATTTACCGTTTAATTTTTTTTTTTATAAAGATTAAGTTAATTGCCAAAAAAAGAAATTCCAAAAACACCTTACCTAACGACCATAAAGTCAAAAAATGCAGTCTATATGATATCGTTTTCAGGAAATCAACCGAAAACCGAAAGTGAATTGCCGACTAATAAAAAGGTGGCTTTTGATTTGGTTGACGATGTTACAGATGGCACTATTAGCCAGCTACCTCATGATGATATCATTGTAAGTACAACACCAATCAGACCATTTTTGTATATTATATGGGTCGGCAAACGAGCAGACGGATTACCTGATGGTAAGCAATCAAGCGCCGCCCATAGATGCCCGCAACGACGAAGGAGCTACGAGTGCGAGTGTTGGGGTACCTTTTGGGGATTAGGGATTAGAACATTTTGGTATTGGGGGACGGGAAGGATTGGGACTCCGGTAACCTCACTCACACAGCAAAACAATGCAGTGTTACGTTGGTTGGTTTTCTGTGAGGCCGTGCTATACGTGCGCCTCAAAGAGGCAATAGACCACCACAGACGGGACCCTATAGGGCTGATGTTCAGCCGAGGTTGCGGGGTAAGCGCAATGAGGCACCGCGGCCTCTGCCTAAAGCAGGAGAAGGAACGAGAGGTTTTCAGTCAGTAAGAGTCTGACTCTTCCTCTCGCCTTGCCTTGGGCGGGAGGTCATTTGATGATTTTCCCCTCACATAAAAAAAGCTTGTAACTTTTTTTTCAGTCTACATCAAAGGACCAATCAGTATCAACCACAGACTTAGACAAACTCTCTACCAAACTAAATTGTCTATGGTTCAAAGACATGCAAACTTTTAAAGAGCCAAACTTTTTGGAAAACTCACAAATGCTTAAAAATAATAAAATTTGGTTCATGGCAGTTGATACTGAAGTTTTGTTGTTGGACTATGAGGCTATTGAGACGATTGTGAAGGCTGGTAAGTTTAATCCTTATTTTCGCTAATTATATATTTTATTAATTTAATCTACACTTTTTATTTTTATATATAATAGCTACCTTCTCTCGCGCGGTTTCACCCGCCGCTCGGTTCCATTTGATCGAAGCGTGATGTTTTATAGCCTATAGCACTCGGGAACATTGTAGTTGTCTATCAGTGAAACAATTTTGGCAATCCGACCAGCGGTTCCAAAGATTACCCCCTACATACAAACTTACAAATTTTACCTCTTTATAATATTAGTATAGAAGTATAGATAAAGCTTACGAGTTTGTTTGTTTGAACGCGCTAATCTCCAGAACTACTGGTTCGAATTGAACAATTCTTTTTGTGTTCGTTAATACATTTACCGAGACAATGAAACAAGGAATTTATTTTTGCAAATAGGCCATAAAACGGCACTTTTACACGTCAATTTATATGTGAAAAACTAGATGAAGCCGGCATTTCCTATCTGACTACTCTGAGAAGAAATGCCGAAACAAACTCAGAGGTCAGTCTCTTTTCGAGGAAAGCTATAGGCTATAAAACAACACTCTACAATCTGTAAGAGCCGAGCAGCGGGTGAAATCGTGCTAGAACAGCTAGTTTAATATATTCAGGCAACAGTCCATCGATGGTTGAAAATAAAATAACTTTGAGTAAAATAGATCTTCAGTAAGTGCCCACTGCTGAGCAAAGGCCTCTTCTCACACGGAGAAGGTTTGAGCATTAATTTCTATGGTCACTCAAGACGATTTCAAGCTTATACATAATTAGAAATTATAAGACTCGGTTTCCTCCCTATGTTTACCTTTACCGTATGTCAGTGATGCCTAAATAATCATAGAAAGTGGTATACCAGGTTTGGAACCCTCATGCATGAGATGCGGGGCCTCCACGGCCGTATGATGTATTAGTAACATACTAGGGATGTTATGGATATGAAATTTCGTATACGGATTCGATACGGATATAGGAATAATTATTATACTGGATACGGTTACGAATACGGATATGAAATGATTTCGGATTATCCTTTAGTTTCGAATTATTTCGGTAATGGATAATACAATTTTAAGGAATTTCAAAAGTCATATACACACATAACGTGTCTAAATTAGGCTCCGCCCCTATCCGATTTTATCCGAAACTTTTAATTCGGATTCAGTTACGGTTACGGATATTTTTCCATATAGGACCAGCGGACGCCCGCATGGATGTCAATTTAATTTTTTTTTTTCATGATTTTTTTTTAATTTTCTCTACGTTCAATCTTCTTTGGACTTCCACGAATAATTTAAGACCAAAATTAGTCAAATCGGTAAAGGCATTGTTGAGTTATAACATTACAACGAAAAGTGACATGGATTGTTATATATATAGACTAGCTACTCTCGCGCGGTTTTACCCGCTGCTTGGCTCCATTTAATCGAAGCGTGATGTTTTATAGCCTATAGTGCTCAGAAACATTGTAGCTATCTATCGGTGAAAGAATTTTGGCAATCCGACCAGCGGTTCTAAAGATTACCCCCTACAGACAAACTTAGGTAAAAAATGTACTTCTTTATAATATTAGAATAGATATAGTTAGTTTCGGTTACGGTAACGGGGCTCCCTAACATCCCTGCAAGCAAAATATGGACAAAATAAAGAATTATAATATGAATATGAATATGAATTGTAAATTTCAGA